GCTTAGCTGGTTAATGTACATACCACCAAGCCTGACAAGCCAAGGTCAATCCCTCAACCCCATACGGAGAGGGCTGACTCACACACTGTGGCCTCTACATTTATACCCCCATAGATATATAATCATAGTAAACACCAGTAAACGAATAAATGTAGTGGAGTTGGGTGTGGTAGCGCATGCTTCTAATCCCAGCTCTCCTAGAGCACAGAAAAATCAGCACCTTAAGGCTAGCTTTAGCTATGAGACAGGTCTCATGCAAGACAAAACAAATCTATTCTAGAACTAGATGTGATGCCACAAGCTGTCCTGAGGGTGTAGAGTCAAGGAAGATGAGGAGTTTAGAGTCATTGGCATTGATTAGAGTAGGGTTCTAGGATCTGAGGGAGATGGCTTAGTGGATTTAGGGCATGTCATGGGAACACAAAGACCTGAGTTTGGATCTCTCACAGCCATGTAAAAATCCGGGCACAGCAGCAAACACCTGCAGCTCCACTGCTAAGGAGGGTGACTGAGACTGGATGGCCAGGTAGTCTAGGTGAATTGGTGATCGCCAGGTTTAGTTGAGAGATTCTGTCCCAGAAAACAAAGTGGAGAGTGATTAAAGAAGCCATGAAGTGTCAACCTGTGGCCTCTACATGCACATGTATATATGTGCACATATAACACATATGAACATGTACACACATATACTAAGGTATTTCTGCTTTAATCACTGATAGGTTAGTATAGTTCACTTTGTAGATCTTTAAAAAGGATTTATTATTTTAAGTTATGTATATTTGTGTGGGGGTATTTTTTTTTTAAATATGTTTGTATGTGGATGTGAGTCTTGGTGCCTGCAGAGGCCAGAGACATTGGATTATCTGGGAGCTGTAGTTATAGGTAGTTGTGAGCCATCTGATTGATATGGGTGCTGGGAATCAAATTCAGGTCCTATGCAAGTAACCTCTAAGCTGTATATGTCCTTTGTAGACCTTTTTTTTTTTTTTTTTTTTTTTCTTCTTCCGAGACAGGGTTTCTCTGTGTAGCCCTGGCTGTCCTGGAACTCACTCTGTAGACCAGGCTGGCTGCGAACTCAGAAATCCGCCTGCCTCTGCCTCCTAAGTGCTGGGATTAAAGGCATGTGCCATCACACCTAGATTAAGTATATCTTTATTGCTTGTAATAGACTTAATTATTTGATTCACTTCTTATTCATTGAATTAATTATTCAAAAAAGAAAGAAAGAAAGAAAGAAAAAGGCCGGGCAGTGGTTTAATCCCAGCACTTAGGAGGCAGAGGCAGGCGGATTTCTGAGTTCGAGGCCAGCCTAGTCTACAGAGTGAGTTCCAGGACAGCCAGGGCTATACAGAGAAACCCTGTCTCGAAAAACCAAAACAAAAAACAAAAAAAAAAAAAAAAAAAAAAAAGGGCGTGCACCACCACCGCCCGGCTCTTTTTTTCTTAAATATAAAGTTTACAGAGAAGTTATAAGAAATAGTAAGATCAAATCTCATATACTTTTTTTTTGGTTTTGTTTTTGTGGTTTGTTTTGCTTTGTTTTTTTTTTTTTTTTTTTTTTTTGTTTTTAGATAGAATCTCATGTAGTCCAGTCTGGGCTAAAATTTTGTGTGTAGTTAAGGATGACTTTTCTGAGCTTTCTGCCTCTGCCTCTCAAGTGCTGGGATTATAGGCACATTATTTAGGCAGTGCTAGGGAATGAGCTCAGGGTCTTATGAATGGTGGGCAGATTCTGCCCACTGACGTATTTCCCCAGCCTGCCATTCTCCTGCTCTTCAGTGAGAGGCATCTGTTGTTAACAGTTTTCTGTATTTGTTTCATTTATGTATTGTATTTGTATGTGTTTGTGTATACATATATACATATTCTTTTCTTTTGGAGCCCTTTGAGAATGAGTGGCAGACATAATGTTCTTTTATACTGAAGTAATTCAGTATTGCCTAAAATTTTTTATCTTTAAAAACATTATTAGAGCCACATAGGTAGAAATACCATTTATATTCTCATGTATCTTCAATAGATGATGATAGAGAAAGATTATGTGAGTTAGGACTAGACCTAGAAGCGAACATTTCATTTGGAGTGGAATGTTTTTGCCATTAGTGTTTGCCTGAACCATTTTGACTGCCTCTCTTGTCTTTGTTGTTTTTTGGCTGTCACTTTAGTTTCTGACATACCTAACTAGTGTGAGAACTTACTGCTTTCCTCACATAATGCTGCCATTCAGAGCCTGTGAATCCTTTCTGCCACGGTCTGTTCCCTTTGCTCTCTGTGCTTGGGCATGTGTCATGGGGCAGGCAGGGTTTCAGTGAGTGCCTCATGTGGATACTGAGAACCCCACCCACCTGCCAAGTCCCTTCTGCTGTGAGCCAAGTGGAGGCTTGGCACTTGTCATTCCTTTGCAGCAGTTGAGCTGAAGGAATGCTGCACGGCTTGTTGGAAGTTGCTGAGTGGCCTTGAATATAGTGTTCAGGAGGGATATGTAGAGAAGTAAGGGTCTTACAGTCTTTGTTGGAGATCTGGGTTCCTCCTGATTCTCCATTAATCGACAGACAATAGATGTTGATAGTTTTTATGACTATCACTGTGATGAGGCTTTGGGAATAATATAATAAGATACATAATTAAGTGACAAATATTATAGCCACCCACTTCCAGCTCTGCCACATACCAGTTAGACAAGTTGATGTCTTTAAGTCTTACTTTATTCTTCTGTAAAGCTGAACTCATAGTATCTACCTGATAGGCTATTGTGAAGATTAAATAAAGAATGTTAGTATAGTGTCATCATATGCTTGATACTAGATAGTATTTTATTTTATATAGTCATATGATCCATGACTGATACTATATAAAACAAAAGGAGAGTAATAAAAACATAGTAAATAGAATGACCAAGTAAATAGAATGACCATACAACATATAACCAAATACTTTAATTGTGACATGTAGATTATGAAGATTATAAATAGCCCAGGAATGTAGAGAAGAGGAGGAATAGTCTTATGCAACTAATTAATATTCCTGTGCCTCTGCTTCTCCACTGGACACACTGAGGACAGAATCAGATGTTAGCTAGATAATGATTAAAACCTCAAAGAATTTTCGTTTTTTGTTTGATTGAAACAGGGTTTTGATGTAGGAGCTATTAAAAGGAGGCTTGAGATATTTGAAATTTAGCACTTTGGCTAGGTGTGGTCACACATACCTATAATGTGAGCACTTTGACAAGAAGGAAGATTGCTGGAGGTTTGAGATCATTCTGGTCTGTGTTGTAAGTTCCAGGCCAGCCAGGGCTATATATCAAGACCCCGTCTCAATAGAAATGTGGGTCATTGAGATGACTCAGAGGGTAAAGGCATTTGCTGCCCAACCTAATGACCTGGGTTTGATACTGGAAACTGACGTGGGAGGAGAGAACTGACTCCTGAAAGTTGTGCTGGATGTGGTTGACACACACCTTAAATCCTAGTGTTCTGAGTTTGAAGCCAGCCAGGTCACATAGAGAGTTCCAGGCCAGCATGGTGAGACCCTGTCTCTCAGATGCTTCCTTCCAGGAATGCTGCTTGATTTGATAATACTCACTGTTGCCTCACAGACGTTTTGGTTAGTTGAAGCCAAAGGTTGGCCAATGGATGACCTCTCATTCTGGGCCCCTGTAGATAATTTCAAGGTTTAAGTGATTTATAACTCAAATTATTTCTCTGATCCTCTGGCAAAATATTGCTTAAACAAATTAGTCAAACAAGGCAAAGATAAGGCAGAAAGGCTTGTCTTTTGGACTGGATGTTGAGGACATAGGGTCTAGTGACCATGAGCAATTCTCTGGGATGGAGCCTCATTCTCCTAGAATGGAGTCTAGACTGCTGATGTGCCCCCCTCCCCCACCTGTAACCAGGGTTTCATAACCATGCATGGAAGGCACCTTTAGAAAAATGCTTTAATAACAACACCCAGAAGACAGACTTCCTTGCTTGGTATTTGCTATCTTAGAGATTTTTGTTGTTGTTTTTGTTCTTTAGCTTCGTTCTTGAAAGTTTGTGTTTGGTTTTTATTTTAGTCCAGTTCAGCTTTCATCTTCAAAATTTAAGAGAAGTTTTCCATGAAAGTGAAGCTGCCTACATTTCTTTTTTCCTTTCGTTTGGTATTTCCCTTTTTTGTTTCTGGTTCCCTCCCAACCTCCCTCCCTCCTTC